CCCGGACCGACGCAGGATTGAACTCCGAGACGCTCAAGGAACTAGGATAAAGGTACAGGACCAGCGGGTTATTGAGGTTGAGTTTGAGGATGTTGGTGGAAACTGTGTGAAGGTTGAGGAAGTCTTCTTGATTTCATCAGTTGTTCACCCTCTCTTAGCTGTAGGAAAATTGTTGAAGAAAGGTTGGGAATTTCGGAACGGTAGTGAGACAGGAACTTTCTTGGTTGAAGGAAACACTTCCATAGCAGTAGCTTACAACAACAATTCCCTCACCGCTAAAGCTTTTGTCAGGACAGTCTCGACATCCCAAACAACAGGAGTCCCTACGCCAATCTATCTCTGTGAAACGCTTAGGAACCTCGTAGCTGAAGGTCGAATTGGATGGACAAGTGTGACCGAGCCCTATGTAGTCCACTACAGCCCAAAGAGCTCAGAGCATGTTGACCCAGCTATGATGGATCCCCAAGGAAAACATCCTTTCAGAGCTGTTTTGGTTAGAGACACCGAAGGCTGGCAGCTCTTGCACTACAACGAAAGGTATGAAGAGCTAGAAGAACCTTTTGGCCACATCTATGATGAGAGCCAGAACTTTGAGGTATTGACCTTGATCTCGTCCAAGGCATTTCCTCCTTACCTCATAGGAACACCCAAGAAAGCGGAAGACAGACGTACATTTGAAGAGTACACTGATGACAAGTGGTCTCTTAGCAAGGATGGAACTGAACTGATCAGGTACCACCACACGCCCAGGAAGACACGTTTTCATCCGCTCGACTTGAAGGACATTCCCGTAGAGCGTGAGAACCTCCAGAACGAGAGATCCACCTACGGAGAGGACCCAGTGAACCATGAGTTCTTTGAGGACAAGATGCCATGGATTGCAGATGAGTATGACGAGTTCTCATCGCCTTTCGGAGTGAGATCATGGACAGGACTGTCTAAGTTCAGGTTGGTCTACCCAGTAGATGGTTCAAAGGCCCAACAACAGGAACAAAGGCTCAAAACAGTCCCGGAGAATGAAAGCATGGAGATTGACGAACAGGAACCACAGGCCCCTGCACACAGGTATGAACTTCATGGAGAACTTACGTTCATTTATGATGGTCATGAGTACAACCAGCAGAACAGCCTGAAGATCCTCAAGGAATTGTGTACAGAACTTGGAGTGTCTAAGAATGGCTCAAAACAGGACCTCCTTAGAAGGCTCAGTAGGAAGATCATGGAAGATGAGAGACGGTTAGGACTCAACACTGCTCAGAAGAAGTACCAGGAATATGCCATTCCACAACCGCTCAAGGACCAAGTCATGCCCAAACCTGAAGAAGTTGAGGTACACAATTTGACACATTTACCGTATGCCACTTGGTGTCCAGTATGCGTTGCGTGCAAAGGAAAAGAGTCGCCACATCCAACTCAAAGCCCTGAGAAGGAACGATCGTCTAGACCCACATTGTGTATGGATTTCTGTTTTACAGGAACAAGTCATGATGAAGCCCCGACGGCAGTCAGCTTGGTTTGCATTGACTCTTGGAGTAGGAGCATTGCTTGCATTCCAATTGCAACCAAAGGAAAAGGTTTGATCGAGCACATTGGCGAAGGCGTTACGTACATGAGCACTCAACTTCAGTACCAGTCTATCAATTTGAAGGCAGACAATGAAGGAACCATGAAGAAGCTCAAGCAGATCATCCTGAAACAAAGGTCAGCTCTAGGACTAGGAACAACCCTTCAAGATGCAGTTTCAGGCCAGAAGGAAACCAATGGCATGGCAGAGCGTGCAATTCAAACTGTGCGTAGGCAAGCCCTCACGTTGATTCAAGGTTTGCAGGAACAGGCAAAGGTGTTGATAGCACATACTCACCCCTTGTTCAGTTGGGCATTCAGGCATGCAGCTTGGATTCTGAATAGGTACCACAGACACAGTGCTACTGGTATGACACCTTATGAGTTTGTTGCAGGAAGACCTTATGAAGGAACACTTTGCCAGTTTGGTGAGAGTTTGATGGTCTTGGCGAACAGGACTGGCGTCAATGTCAAGAAAGGTGACCCTCAATGGCTGAGAGGAGTTTTCTTAGGAAAGACTGACAACAACCTCTTCATTACGTGGCACATGGATGGCATCAAGACCAGTAGATCTGTGAAGAGATGCCCCCATCATTTTGACCTGGAAGCACTAACTAGTGTAGGAATCCACACTTGGGAAGTGAAGCACACGACGCTCACAACTCGCGTAGTTCCTAGGAAGAACCTACCAGGCCCCTCAGGAACACCAGCGCCTGTGACAGTGGTGGAGCCTCTAGGAGATCAACATGGCATTGGAGCCATTACTCCTGGAATACAGACACCTGTCATCGCAGGCGGGGCGAGTACACCAAAACCGTTAGGAACAGTCACCCCAAGAAACACGAACCTTCATGCAATGGCAAAGAAGGCAAAGGAACAAGAACAACTGCAAGCAGAACCTGCAGCACCTGAGTGGATAGACCCAGGACCTGATGAGGCAGGCAGTGATGCAACGCCTACAAGTCAACTGAGTCATCTGCAAAACAGAGGACCAGGATCCGATGAAGCAGGTAGTGATGTCACACCAACGTCGCAGATAAGCCGTGGTCGTGGTAGTGACAGCATGAGCACTGATCAAGAGGTCATGCAAGAGAGTCAAGGTAGTGAACTTTTGTTGCCAAGAGCACCGTCAGCAGTCAGAAAGCATGAGTATGAAGACGTAGGAACTTCGTCCAAAATCCCAAGGACCGACGAGTCGCCGAAGAGGAAATTTCCACCGTTTAACGCAGGACGCGTGTTTGAGCACAACGACGAACCTCTCCCTGAGCCAGGACTTGACGACATCTGTTGGGAGGACACATACTCAGATATAGGAGATGAAGAAGAAGAAGACGAAGAGGAGAGAGAGAGTTTTCAACGATGAGGACGCAGGACCACCAGAGCTTTCAGATGAAGAGCTCAAGGCCAAGGACAGAGAGGCCATGATCACCGAGATGGAGAGACTTTCAGGAATGCAGGCACTGGCTAGGAAACCGCTGGAGGAACTTGGTTGGCACAAGAGAGACGATGGAGAGAATGAGAGAGAAGAGATCGAACAGGAACCCATAAAATGGCTCACAACCAAATTCGTGTTCGATTGGCGGTTCAGGTCAGGGTCTTGGAAAAGACGGGCTAGGCTAGTGGCTCGTGAATTTAAAGGAACTGAACACAGAAGTGACGTGTTCTCACCAGCCACGTCAGCAAGCCTCACAAGGTTAGTCCCCGTGATTGCTCTTCAGGAAGAGTTTTCAGTCTACAGCATTGACGTCAAAGATGCGTTTTTGCAAGTACCCCAAAGGACTAGAACGGCGTGTGAATTCCCGAAGGAATATGTGGAGCTGTTTCAGGACACTGATCCCTCTTGTCTTCAGGAAGGACTACTCTTGCTCCGAGTGTTGCCAGGACAGAGAGACGCAGCTTTGCTTTGGTCGGATCATTTTAGTGATTCGCTTAAGGAACAAGACTTTGAGAGAAGTGTAGCTTGTCCAACTCTGTTTCGAGACTCACGGAAAAGCATTCTTGTGGTTCATGTTGATGACATTCAAGCAGCAGGAAAGAGTCATCATGTCGACCCTGTACTAAAGAGTCTAGGACGAGTGTACGAGCTGAAGATTGAAGGACCGTTTCTTACCGCGCAGGAACTTGCTATTGGCGAGTCGCTTCAGACGGTGAGATTTCCCAAAAGAAAGTACTCGTATCACAATCATGAACTTCACATTCACAGTGACCCAAAGTATCTAGGAAAACTTCGTGAAGAACTCAAGTTGACAGGAAAGGCATCAAAGCCAACGCCGTGCACGCAGGAAAGCCAGGCAGTAGACAACACAAACCCTCTTGACCAGGAACAAGCAGCTTCGTTTAGGAAGTGTGTAGGAATCCTCCTATATGTTTGTCAGGACAGGCCGGATCTGCAGTTCGCAGTAAGAGGTTTAGCGTCCAAGATGTCATTGCCAACATTTGCAGCTAAGAAGCAGTTGATTCATGTTGTGCAGTACATGACAAAGACAGATGGTTACCATTGCACGTATAGGAAAACACCTCGAGGAATGTCAAACCTCAACGAGAGCATTCGCAACGGAACCTATGACTTTTCCCAAGTCAAACCCAAGGAACATCACTTGTTGGAGGTATACTCCGATTCAGATTGGGCCGGACAGAAAGACAGTCGTCGCAGCACAAGTTCAGGAACTGTGTTTCTGGATTCTCAACTGATCTATGCATTCTCTAGGACCCAAAGGAGTATTTCTCTGTCTTCTGGAGAGGCAGAATATTACGCCGCAGCTAGTTCAGCTAGTGACTCTTTGTTGCTCAAGGAAGCGATAGAATTCCTCACCTGTAGGAAGTGCGTAGTGCATTTGCATCTAGATTCTTCCGCTGCTCGTGGTATCATTACCAGGCAGGGAGTAGGAAGAGTGAAACATTTGCAGATTAGGACCCTCTTTCTCCAGGACCTCCACAAACAAGGAATTCTTAGTGTCCACCCGGTAGGTACCAGGGATAACACTGCTGATATAGGAACTAAGCCGCTTTCAGGAAAACGCATTAAGTTGTTGATGCATTGGCTAGGCTTCAAGGACGAACAAAACCAACCAGTAGGAATTGAAGAGCTTCAAGAACATCGACAGCAGGAACAAGCTAAGGCCACAGTCAAGAGAATCAAGTCCAAAGGAAACTTCGCATTTGCAGCTTTGTTTTTCTCTTTGCTTTCAGGAAGTTTGGAAGGTTGCTCAAAGGTTGAAGTAGCTTCAGGAACATGTCTGTTGCAGTCGTGCAGTACATGTGTAGGAACTGTGCAGGAACATGTCGGCATGTGCAGTGACACGAGTGCATGTGCATTAGGATTGCAGGAACAGCTTGGGGTAGGAAACATTTGCAGCTCGATGCCTCGAGTGAAGGACCTCTGTTTTAGGAACCTTGAAAAGGAAGAGACAGTAGCTGTAGAGAAGGAAGTAGCAGCTATGGAACCGAGTGCCTCCGAGAAGGAACGTTGGTTCAGAGAGCTCACCTCTCAGTTGAACCAGTTGAAAGAAGCCCAAGGAATGATCTGGTGGAAGCAGCAAGAAGAAGAAAGAGCAGCGAAGATGGAAAGAGAGCTACGAAGAACAGGACATGGTCGAGGAGAAGCAGGAAGTGAAGAAGAGGAAGAAGAAGAAGGATCAAGTTCTACCACACCAAGATCTTCGTCGGCGTCTACTACATCAACGCAGGAGGAAAAGAGGAAGGAAAAGGAGAGGAAAGAGAAGATCAGGAAAGTGAATGAGGAGCTGAGGAAAAGAGAAGAAGAGGAGAAGGAAAAGGAAAAAGGTTTTGCGTACCCCTACGACGACACCGAGTACAAGATCTACGTGGAGAATGGCAAGGTGTACAAGCAGCACAGGATCACGGGCGAGAAGGTCGAAGTTGGCGTCGACTACGTCTACAAGTACCAGAAAGGAAAGGAAGGAAAAGGAAAAGGACCAGGAAAAGGAAGCACCAAGAACACAGCCACAGGAGCGAGCAGCAGCTCTGACAAGCAGGCAAGCGCAGCAGTCGCTGAAGCAGCAGGAGTTACACCACAGGAAGAGGGAGCCACACAGGAAGCAGAGAAGCAGGCAGAGAAGGATGAGAAGAAGTGGCAGAAGGAACGCGAAAGGCGAGAAAGAATCAGGAAGAGGAAAGCCGAGGAGAAAGCCAGGAAGGAGAAGGAAGAAGCAGAAGAGGAAAGGAAAAGACAGGAAGCCACAGCAGAAGAGGAAAGGAAGAAGCAGGAAGCAGCAGCAGAAGAAGGAAGGAAGAAGCAGGAAGCAGCAGCAGCAGAGGAGAGAAAGAAGCAGGAAGCCGCAGCAGAAGAAGAAAGGAAGAAGCAGGAAGCCGCAGCAGAAGAGGAAAGGAAGAAAAGGCAGGCAGCAGCAGCAGCAGAGGAAAAGGACAGGAAGAGACGAGAGGCAGCAGCAGCGGCAGAAGCAGAAAGGAAGAGACGAGAGGCAGCAGCAGCAGAAGCAGAGAGGAAGAAGCAAGAGGCAGCAACAAGAGAAGGAAAAGAAGATGAAAATGAAAGTTTGAGGATTGAGATGGCCCAGCTTCGTGAGTTGGTCAGAGGAATGAAGGAACAGCAAGCCTCAGACAAAAGGAAGATCATCTCGCTTCAGGAAGAGCTCAAGAAGGCCACAGACAGTGAAGGAAGCACAGGAGAAGGAAAGAAGAAGGACAAGCCGATTGGCCCACAGGATCGAAGCCAATTCAGAGTTGGAGGAAGTGAAGGAGCTCAGGAACTGTATGCGATCTTTCCTTACGAAGGATCAGATTTCCAGTGGAAATGGGTGCAGGCCACAAAGGCATGGCTCTACTACGACGTGAACCAGAACTTGTGGATCAAGGACAGCGAAGATGAAGATGGAGGAAGGATCTGCAAGGAACAGGAGAAGCAAGTGAAAGGATGAAGGAAGGAAAAGAAGCGAAGGAGAAGAGAAGCAAGGAAAAGCAGAGGAAGGATCAGCAGCGCTCAGTCGAGCAGTGAGGAGTGAGTTTCAAGATGAGAAGGAAGCCAGAACAAAGGATGGAGTATCCGTTCTACTGGCAACTTTCAGGAACTTTGTTTTCGCTTTTGTTGACTAAAGGAAAATGATCCGAGTAATCAACTTAGCCCACGACAGTCGAAGCTAGCTTAGTCTAGGAACGACTTTCACCAGCTTCGAAGGCGGGGTGTTAAACATCTACGCAGTACAGGAAGCTGTGCACCAGGTGCATGTGGAATGCACACCAGAGCCTCGGAACGTCTTGTCGACGACAGGCTCGAACAAGGACACACACCGCAGCGAACCCAGGAAAAGTGTGGAGTGTCCCAGCTTTTCAGTTAGCTTTAGATTGACCCTATCTTTGACAGTTTTAGGGTTTAGGGTTTAGGGTTTAGGCTTTAGGGGTGAGGGCTTCGGGTATCGGATTTCGGGTTTGGGGAGGGGGGGGGGGGGGGGGGGGGGGGGGGGGGGGGGGGGGGGGGGGGGGGGGGGGGGGGGGGGGGGGGGGCTCAGAGCTTGCGGTGGAAAGGGCTTTTTTTGGACTATTTACGTACGGCTTTACAGGGCAACCAACCATGCCTGCTAGCGATATGGAGCTGTCACTACTAAGCTGTAGAGGTTGAGCTTTCCAATTAGAGGTGATAGAGTCAAAGCCGACAACACGTAAAAATGCTCTTGAAATGTGAAAATGCAAGCGCTATTTGTCCGTAATCATGATGAGTGTCTTTCTGTGGGGCTTACCCGAAACCCCAATTCCTTAAACCCTAAACCCTAAACCTGAATGGATTTAGGAGCACTTTCGCCCTTCCACCCCGAACCCTAAGCCCAACCTGCAACTCCCCTAAGCCCTACACCCTACTTGGAGGTTCATGAGTAATTAAGTAGGGTTATAAGCAGAGCAACTACTTCCTTCCTTACTCTAGGTAGTTTTAACCCTACTCATCCATACCCATGAACCTTCAAGTAGCCCTTAGGCCTAAACCATAAACCCTCAACCCTAAACCCTAAACCCTAACCCTAAACCCCAAACCCTAAACCCTAACCCTAAACCCTAAACCCTAAACCCCAGACCCCAAACCCTGAACCCTAAACCGTACTCCAAGTACAGTCCCAGACAGGGGTGGCGCTGGTCTTGGTGGGGCAGTGGCGCTACCGCCTCCGAAGCGCAGCGCCGTCTGGATTTGGAGCGGGTTTAGGGTTTAGGGTTCAGGGGTCAGGGGTTCAGGGGTTCAGGGGTTCAGGGGTTTAGGGGTTTAGGGGTTTAGGGGTTTAGGGGTGTAGGGGTATAGGGGTTTAGGGGTTTAGGGGTTTAGGGCTGCTTGGAGGTTCCGGGTTTTAAGTACCCGAAGTCACAAGTGCAGTTACCCAACTGATAACCCTGCTTAAAACCCTCTGGGTTTGGGGGGGGGGGGGGGGGGGGGGGTGGTTTATAATGTGGGGTGGGAAGGTTTAATATTAGGGGAAAGGGGTTAAAAGGAATCGTACAGGTTTGGCCTGCAGTGTCTGGAATTTATGCGGCACAAAAATGCAGCGAGGCAGGAGAATTGCCGTGGGCTAAACCCTAAACCCGAAACCCTAAACCCTAAAGCCTAAACCGTGGTGGTCGTCCGTGGTGATGGTCCCGTGGCGGTGGTCCGTGGTGGTGGTCAGTGGTGGTGGTCCGTGGTGGTGGTCCGTGGTGGTGGTCCGTCCGCCCGCCACCGACGTTTCGTTTATATTGCGTTATATTTACGTTATAGGTGACTGCTTTCTGCATTCGGGTCCGTGGATCCTATCAGGTTTTTATTTAAGGGTGGGAGCCAGGAGAATGAAGGTTGTCTAGCGGGACATTATGCAAGGTAAACCGTGGACTCGAGCATTATTCCAAGAGAACCACTAAGAAGAGCAAACAGCCCAAACAAGATGTACCAAGTGCTCAAGATTATATATTCGAATCATGCTCTTATGAAGTAATCCTTGTTCATTGCTCCCTTCAGACCCCTTAATCATATAGTAAGTGATAAAAAAAGTGAACAACACAGTCACATCGCTCACTATATTACAAGTAAAGTGAATTAGCAGGAGCCAAATACCTTGCCTGCCCATGGAGTTTTGAGTTTCACGTGTGGGAAATCGGTGACGGTTCAAGCATTCGAAGAGGAAGATGTGGCACATACGGCGCTGGGCATGAAAGGGCGTTTGTTGGATGCCGAAGAGAATCTCCAGGCAGCTGCAAGGAGATGTCGGACGAGGTGCAGTCCTGGCACTCCTTCGTGCTGGAGAGCTGCCTGCCAAAGATGGCAAAAAGCTGGCAGTTGCTTGCCAAGATCCTGACCAGAACGCCGAGGCGTCGTGACATCTGACGCAGTATTTGTCATCCTGGCCTCCTTCCATTCCATGCACGCACCTCAAGATGTCTGAAGAATGCTAAAGACTGAGCCCCTAAACCCTAAACCCCGACCCCAAACTCTGAAAACGGGCTGTTACTTCGGACAAATGATTAAAGCCCCCCCCCCCCCCCCCCAAACTAATTACCTATGAACCTCCAAGTAAAGTAGGTGTTGGGGTTCAGGGTTTCTATGATGTTGGTGGCTCAGCGGTGCCCTTGTGCCAATTTGTTGGTTCTAGGTTCCCTTGTAAGGCAACCAACCCCCAAAAAGGTGCCCTCATTGCAATATGGTTCTGCCTTACCAAGTGACAGGCGAACCCTATATAAAGTGACCGCTCGGATTGTCGGTCCGTTTCCTGGTGCGTGAGACTTATACTTGGAGGTTCATGGGTAGTTATAAGTAGGGTCATGAGAACCCTACTTCTAACGACCCAAGAACCTCCCAGTAGCCCTAAACCCCGAAACTCCAAAACCCTTAACCCTCATACAAAACCTTCGGGGGCCCGGCTCAGGCCCAAACCCCCATTCTCGCTTTGAAAACCCTAAGCCCTAAACCCTGAACCCTTAACCCTAAAGCCTAAAGCCTAAGGAAAGATGAGGGCTTGGGGCTCAGCTGATAGCCCTCCTGTCTCACAGGGAACTCCCCTGTAGGGTTCCCAGGACCGTTTCCACGGGGGTTGGGAGGGCCTGGAAAAATCCCAAAAGTAAAGAAAGAGCTTTGAAGCGGGTGCTGTAAGGCTTAAGGTTTGGGGGCCTGGGCTTCGGAGCCTAAGCTTTATGGATTGAGTGAACTTTATGTTTTCTTAATCTTATGGGATTCGTCGGGCGCGTGTTTTCCCGTCGCTTGAAAAGCTGCTCGGCCCAGGACATGCTCAACCCTTAGACCCTTAAACCCTTAAACCCTTAAACCCTTAAACCCTAAGGCCCTAAACCCTAAACACAAGCCAAGGTCCTGACGCTGCGCCGGCGAGTCGTCGAACCTCTACAGGCCACCGTCTTTGCCGCACTGAGCCGGCTTCGTGGCTGGGAAACAGGTTTGGGGGGTTTTGGGGGGTTTAGGGTTTAGGGTTTAGGGTTTAGGGTAACTGTGGCTGGGAAATGGGGGGGCTTTCCTCTAATGGGGGGTACCAAATATAGTAGAATCCCCTGTAAAAAGGGCCTAGGAGGGTACCCCGATTATTGTAACCGCCCAAATAGATTTCGGGTTTCAAGGGTTTCGGGGTTGCGAGGGTTTAGGGTTTAGGGTATAAGTTGGGATGTTCCCCCTTCTGCTAAGAGCGCCTTAATCGGGATGATAATAGGGGTTACTAGAATGCGCTATGGAGAACTGCTAGTATAAGGGGGAACGTCTCAAGGTTTGGAGTTATATAGGGGTTTGGGGGTTTCAAGGTTTAAAGGGTTTAGGGTTGTTTTGGGGTTTGAAGGGTTTAGGGTTTTGGGGGCTGTTGGGGTTCTGAAGGTTTTTTGGGGTTTTAGGGTGGTAGGCTTTTGCAGTTTTACGGTTTTTGGCTTCCGGGAGGCGAGCGTAGCGTTGGTCTTCAAGACAGCACGCGCGTGCTTTGTAAGCCAGACACCCACTGTAGACAGAATCCATCATGTGCATCAACAGTCGAGAGTGCCAAGCGTCAGTTGAAGTATGCCTCAAACCCTATGACACCCTCAACGCAACAGCCTCTGAACCCCGACAACCCAAACCCCCTATATAAACCTTAGATTGCTAAACCCTAAACCCTAAAATCCCTGAAGCCCTAGTGCCTAATCCCCTTAATCCCCTAATTCCCTAAAGCCCCCTAGGGATCGAGATCACGGTCTAGGAGCTCGCGAAACTCTTCTTGGCCTTTCTGACAGCCCTAACCCTCAACCCTACCTGGCCCTGAGCCCGAAGCTGAAGCGGCCCCTAAGCTAGGTATGCCCGTCGGATACTCTACTTCTCCTAAAAACAAATTTGGGGTTTCTGAAGCAAATCGTAGTATTTGATATTTCCCGCATTGGGCATAATTAAGAGGATCATATGCAGGAATACGAGTTTTGAGGGCCATCCTGGTAAATAGGCCCTAGGACCCTTTAAATCCCCATAACTCCTAAACCCCTAAGCCCCCACTTTCCATTTTTTGGGATGCCATTCTCACCTACAGAACTGAAAGTCTACACTTTTTTGGGGTGCTTGTGAACTCTCAGCAACTAGGCACTGCTGAGGTTCGAGCCCGAGAACATCTCGGCCCAAGATGCCCAAGCCGCGCTGCGGGAGGCTTCTTGATAGGTCAAGTTGGGTGGATCCGGGCTGAGAATTGAGCCCAGAATACCCGACTACCCTAATCAAAGCCCCCAATAATACCGTAAAACCCAAACCACCTAAACCCAGGCCCCAATTCCCTAATACATGAATGCCCTAATCCCCTAGTACTACCCGAAACCCCGAAACACCCTAAACCCCAAGCCCTAATTCCCCAAACCCTAAACCCTAAAACCCTGATGCCCCAGTACCCTAGTGCCCTAAACCCTAAACCCTAAACCCCAAATAAACTAACGAAATTGAAAAACAAAAACATTGATACGTGAATCATGTGCAAAAAGCATGGCTGGTGGCTTTCAAACCTGCAGCAGACTTGTTCAGTTCAAAAGTGGCAACAAAATGGGTTATTTGGAAGATTTGGCAAGTTCTGTAAATTCTGAATTAAACCCTAAACCCTAAACTCTAAACTCTAAACCCTAAACCCTAAACCCTAAATAAACTACCCTAAGACCCCCCACACTTCCTAGGCTTTGGGGGTCGACCTAGCAGCCTTCGCCTTCCTCCGCGACCCGCCTGGGACAGGTGCCTTGCTTTAGGGTTAAACGTTTAGGGTTGAGGGTTTAGGGTGGGTTTAGGGTTTAGGGTTTAGGGTTGAGGGTTTAGGGTTGAGGGTTGAGGGTTTGGGTTTAGGGTTTAGGGCTTAGCGTTTAGGGTTTAGGGTTTAGGATTGCCTGTTTGTTTTTGTTTCGGGCCTAGGTTTCCGGGGTTCAATCGTTTCCTTTGATGGCGAGACCTAGTGTTTTTTTTTTCGGGGGGAGGGGGGGGGGGAGAGGGTGCTGCGTTTAGGGCTCCAGAGGTTAGCTGTTCGGGGTTTAGAGCTCAGGGATTGGATTTAGGATTTAGGGTTTGTCGATGGCCATGAGATATGATTGTAAAAACAGGGATGGTAGAGAAACACTTCGCATGAAAGAAAGTGTTTGCTTTCAGCCGTGTGTCTTGCGGCGAATCATGTGTAAGTATCGTTGGAGTCTTACGTATGTGTTCATTGCCAGGAATGCCAAAACCAGAACAAAGAGTCAGCATGCCATGTGTATGCACCAATTTCACAGATGGGCTAAGGGCTTGTGTGCGTTGAGGGGTTGGGGTATTTGCGGCTTGGGCCTAGGGACGGTGGAATATGCTCCATGATTGTTTCCTCTTGTCTCTTGTTCATGATGGTGAGCTACGCTCTGTGGCACTGCCTGCGCGTCATTGCTTGTCACGGAAAGTGAAGCTTAATGTCCAGACAGTGGTTGCACCTTCCTCTAAACCCTAAACCCTAAACCCTAAACCCTAAACCCTAAATTTAAGAGCCTCCGGCTCAAGCCGCCGACCCCGCAGGAGAACAAGTTTAAGGTTTGGGGTTTGGTGATTTTGTTTGCGGTTGGGGGGGTGGGGGGGGTGGGGGGGGGGGGGGGGGGGGGTGGGTGGGGGGGGTGGGGGGTGGGGGGGGTGGGGGGGGGGGGGGGGTGGGGGGGGGTGGGGGGGGGGTGGGGGGGGGGGGGGGGGGGGGGGGGGGGGGGTGGGGCGGGGGGGGGGGGGTGGGGGGGGGGGGGTGGGGGTGGGGCAAAGAGGGGTTTTTTCCAAAAGAGCCCCTATGCCGTGTGCGAAAACGCCTATGGTCCATGAGTTTACGCGGTGTGGGTGGCCTGTCCTCCACGGAAAAGCTGGCGGGGTACCCCCCCTACCCCCCCCCCCCCCATTTTGGGGGGAAAGAGAGGTTTCCACCTCCTTTTCCCATCCAACACGCCGCCAGGGTCGGCGGACCCTAAACCCTAAACCCTCAACCCCAAACCCTGAACCCTAAACCCTAAACCCTAAACTGTACTGCATCAAGCGGGTGGATCATGGGTCGCAGGCCCAGTATTTGAAGGTGAAACTTGACAGCAGACACTGCAATGGAGCAGTATTGAGGTCCTCCGTCAACATGGCATACTTCCGTCAACAAAACACACACACACACACACACACACACACACACACACACACACACACACACACACACACACACACACACACACACACACACACACACACACACCACACACACACACACACACACACACACACACACACACACACACACACACACACACACACACACACACACACACACACACACACACACACACTCAGACTTGCTTTGGTTTAAACCCTAAACCCCGAACCTTACACCCTTTACCGAACCCTAAACCAAGCCCAAAAATCCAAACCGAAAGTCGCCTCGATGGGGGGGTCCCTTCAATGTTTTTCCCAAAACTTGCAGCCCTTGAAGCCCTTAAACTTGCGAAATTCCTAAACCCTAAACCCTAAGCCCTAAACCCTAAACCCTTGAAATCCTAAGCCCTCCGGCACCCTGTCAGGAGTGCTACATGCCGAGCTGCATCCTGCACCCCGGTTTAGGGTTTAGGGTTGAGGGTTTAGGGTTTAGGGTTTAGGGTCTGGGTTGCCGGATCTGACATCGGGGCTTGAGGTCTTGCAGCTTTGGGCAATTTAGGGTCTAGGGTTTCGCAAAGCAGCATTGATAGTTTAGGTATGCGGGGAGTTCAAATTGCTTCTAACCTAACTTAGGTACCTATAACACTAGTTATGGGCCATAAACCTTCAACCCTGAAACCACCTCTACCCGTTTCTAGTTTGGTGGTACTTGCCTCCTAACTAGGAAGGAAGCCCCGCTAAAGAGCCAAGTCAACAGAGTCCCAGAATTAGGGTTTACACGGGTCCCTCTTCATCTATCTGCTTGGAGGGGGGCGGGGTGTACTTGGAAGGTTGACGTGTGCCTGCACTTGGGGTTGCAAGTGGGATTTGGAGTACTCGCTGCGTCTCGCGACTTACAAGTACGGCGAGAAGGAGGGTAGCTATGTTATAGACAAGTAGTATATATATGTATATAGGTATATGTGAGTTGAGCAACTAAGGTTGGTGTAAACTTCTTGAAAAATGACCATACTACCTACCCATAAACCTTTCAGTTGGGTTTAGGTTTAGGTTGCATGAAACCTTGGCATAGTTCTACTGTTTTGTAGGCTGTTGTTCGAAGACCACGTGGGATCACTAGGTAACCTACAAGAAAGAAGCTTCGGGGGCTCTTTAGGTACCCCCTATAACCCTAAACCCTATATACCCTAAGCCCTAAACCCACAAACCCTAAACCCTAATCCCTAAACCCTAAACCCTAATCCCTAAAGCTCAAATCTTCAAAAGATGGGGGCCCTGAAGCCCCAGGAAGCGATCGACCATCATCACACCTGCGGAGGCGACATGCAGGGTTCAGGGATTCAGTTTGGGTTTAGGGTTTAGGGTTTAGGGCTTAGGGCTTAGGGCTTACGGCTTACGGCTTAGGTATTCGGGTTAGATGTGAGGGTTCAGGGTTTAGGTATTGGGGTTTAGGGTTTAGGTATTAGGGTTTGGGGTTTAGTGTTTGCGGTTACGGGCGCCTAGAATCTCGCTTTCGAGCAGGCCGAAATGCAGAGGCTGCAGGCTAGGTTGAAGGTATACACAGGAATGTGCGGTCAACGTGCCGTCTTAGGGCTTCTCTGCCCTAAACCCTCCTAAACCCTAAACCCTAAACCCTAAACCCTCCTAAACCCTCCTAAACCCTATACCCTAAACCCTCCTAAACCCAATATCAAGGCTTTAACGGGTCTGCGAGATTTCCCAGAACGCGGGCATACAAGGACGGTCTCCTTACAAAACCAACTGCGGTAGGAGACGTAGCACCTAGACTGCTATTTGCTTACGCCCCCCCCCCCCCCCCACCCCACAAAGTAGACAATATTCTTCCTTAAAGGGCAAAATAGAGATGATCATCTTCCATTTGTTGGGGGTTCTTGAGCAAGTCGTAGTAGAGGAGGTAAGTTAGAATGCATATAACTCAACTGATAGGGGCCCGCAACCGCACCCAACACGCCAACCCTAAACGAACCCTGAAGCTTGGGCTGTTTACCCTTATACGAACAGCTCCTTAATAGGGATAATAAGGGGTACTATAAAGGACTGTTAGTATCAGGGGGATCATCCCAACCCTAAACCCACCATTCCTGAAGCCTTTAAACACCACGACCTGAGGCCCAAGCCAACCCTGCAAACCCCGTAGCCCTACACCCTAGACCCTGAACCCTCCCCCCTCCCCCTCCCCCCCTAAACCCTAAACCCTAAACCCTAAACCCTAAACCCTAAACCCTAAACCCTAAACCCTAAACCCTAAACCCTAAACCCCCCGTTGTGCAAGAAGTGCAGGATGGCTCCTGGCACCGGCCGACGCCCGGCCTGAGTCGATGTTTTACGGCTTCCCAGGCATCGGGGTTTAGGGTTTAGGGTTTAGGGTTTAGGGTTTAGGGTTTGGGGTTTGGGGTTTAGGGTTTGGGGTTTGGGGTTTAGGGTTTAGGGTTTAGGTTGATTAAGTTGTTTTGACAAACTCAGATGGTCCCTCAACCCTCGACGCCTAGACTCTAAAATGCCAAACCCAGAAAACCCACCTGAACATCCCTTCCCCCCTTCCCCCCCAAAAAAACACAAAAGAAAACAAAACAAAAAGCTCTCAGACCCTGAACCCTAAACCCTTAACCCTAAACCCTAATCCCTAATCCCTAAACCCTTTAAACCCTAAACCCTAAACCCTAAACAACACCCCAGGACGGCCATCGCGAAGGCACGTCCCTCCTGGCCATGCGCAAGCTGGACATGGCGTGGCGCGAACTGTTTCAGGGGCCTTTGGGCATGTAGGGTTTAGGGTGTAGGGTCTAGGGGGTTTAGGGGTTTAGGGTTTGGGGTTTAGGGTTTTACTACTATTTACCCAAAAAAAAATGCTGCAGAAAATATGCCCTACATTGCCCTGACAAGGAAGAAGATTCATTAGATTTGTTGGGGGTTCTTAAGCAAATAGTAGCTTAGGGTTTAGTTCAGGGCTTTATAGAGGGTTTTGGATTGAGGGTGCGGATGGGGGTTCGAGGGTTAAGGCTCCAGAGACTTAGCCCTAAACCCTAAACCCTAAACCCTAAACCCTCAACCCTAAACCCTAAACCCTAAACCCTAAACCCGAAACCCTAAACCCTAAACCCTAACCCTTAACCCTAAGCCCTTAGGGTTTCGGCTTGGCAGCTCAGGGCTTGGGGCTCGGGGGCTCTGATTTCGGGCTCCGAATATGGGTTGAGGGTTTGGGGTTTAGGGTTTTGGGTGGCTTTACATTCCTTTGAGAGGGTTCCCAAAAAGCCAAAAGGTGCAACCTGAAGGGTCCAAGTCCAAATCCCTGGGTTGGCTGGTGTTTTTGTTCAGGTTAGAGCCCTGTAGGGTACGTAGGTTAGAGCCCTGTAGGGCACGTAGTATAAGTACCTACTTTTCTTCAGGCCTGAACCCTAACAAATGTACAACTCATGTCCTTCCCTAAATCTCAAACCCTGAACCCTAAACTCTTAGAGCCTCAACTGTGGCTAAAAAGCTGCAGGCCCTGGCTCACGCGTCACGATGCCACCGTGCACTCTAAAGCCCTGAACTGTCCCTGAGCCCAAAATACCCTTTACGGCTTAGGGTTTAGGGTTCAGGGTTTAGGGTTTAGGTTTAGGGTTTAGGGTTTAGGGTTTAGTGTGTTTAGGGTTTAGGGTTTAGGGTTTAGGTTTCCTTTGCGGTTGCCATGTGAACTCCCCAAAGGAGCTCAAGAGTCTACTTGGAGGTTCATGGGTAGTTATAAGTAGGGGTATAAGTAGGGTATATAAACTGTACTTTTAACCTTACCTAGGATACGTTCAACGCTACTTATAACTACCCGTGAACCTTCAAGTAAGGCTTTGGAAAAATGCCCAAGCCCTCGTCTGGTATTGAGGAATTAGGACGCGAGTTCCGGGATCCTCTGCGGCCCCTGCCAAAAGTACCTCATCTTCTTCAGAGTTTGCGAGTACATCCACCCCACTTACTATAAACCTAAACCCGAAACCCCCAAAAAACACTTCTCAGAACCCTTGAAAGTTACCGGGCTCCCTACGCCCCCTAAACCCCAAACCCTAAACACCCTAGACCCTAAACCCTAAACCCTAAGCCCACCCCCTAAACCCTAAACCCTAAACCCTAAACCCTAAACCCTAAACCCTAAACCCTAAACCCTAAACCCTAAACCCTAAACCCTAAACCCTAAACCCTAAACCCTAAACCCTAAACCCTAAACCCTAAACCCTAACCCTAAACCCTAGACCTATCGGGTTGGCAGCTTGAGGCTCGACTTGGTGGAGCGATTCGAGACTTTCCTGCCACATTGGCTGGGGCTTCATGGGTCAGGAATGAGGGACTCCGAAGCCCTAAACCCTAAACCCTAAACCCTAAACCCTAAACCCTAAACCCCTAAACCCTAAACCCCTAAACCCCTAAACCCTAAACCCTAAACCCCTTAACCCTTAAACAAATTTATCCTTGAACCCTACGGCCCCCAAAACTTCTGTAACCTGCAAACCTACGACGCCTCGAAAGGCCCGACCTTTAGGGAACCCTTCTTAGGTGCTGAAGACCTCAACCTTTTAAGCCACAGAAAACACGACGACATCCCGAAAAGAAAGCCCTATACGAAACACCCCAAGTCTCTGGGCATCAAGCCCCAAACCTTTAGGAAGCCTACTACCAAGAAAAAAACAAAAAAGAAGAAGGATACAACAAACCAATAGCTCATCTAACTTAAGAAGTGTAACCCTTGACTGGGACCAGAGCAGTCTCACATTCCCCTTATGGGCGGCTTAGGTTCCTGTATAGCCCCCCCCCTTAACCAAACCAAAAGGGCGCCCATTATATTCCTGGATTACTCTGGGGTGTAGGGTTTAGGGTTTAGGGTTTAAGGTTCAGGGTCTAAGGGCCAGGGTTTAGGGCTATATTAGGGTTCAGGGTTTAGGGTTTAGGGTTTAGAGTTTAGGGTTTGGGGTTTAGGGTTTAGGGTTTAGGGTTTCGTCCTTTTTATTCCTAGGTTCCTCTTGGGCCCAGCTGAGGAAGCTCGGAGAGGGCACCCCTTCAGCTGGATTGTCTACTGCCGGCTGGACATCGCCGCTTGGCGCTGCTTCAAAGTTTAGGGTTTAGGGTTTAGGGTGTAGGGTTTAGGGTTTAGGGTGTAGGGTGTAGAGTTTAGGGTTTAGGTCTTTTTGGCTTCCGAGACTCCAGACGCTCCTCGTGGGGCCCTCATTCCCTCAAAGTATCGGTTTTTTTGCCTCCAGAGCTCCCATAAGCCCACCTTTTTTGGTAGGATTTGGGGTGTTCTCCTTTATACTAACAGTCCTTGATAGGGAATATAGTACCCCCTATTATAATCCTGTTAAGGACTGTTAGTATCAGGGGGAACATCCCAAGGGTGGGATATCTAAGTAAGGGCCCTGCAAGGGGTTGTACAGAGTTTTCCAGGTTTGGCGGTTAGGGTTTAGGGCTTCGGGTGTGAGGTTCCTTTAGTTAAGGCAGGGTTTTAGCATTTAGGACCCAGGTCTCTCTTTGAGGGCCCCCTTGTTCCATTTCTTAAAGCAGTAGGGTCTAGGGTCTAGGGTTTAGGGTTTAGGGTTTCGAGTTTAGGGTTTGGGGTTCCATGTTTTGGGGTTTATTTCGGACGCCCCGGGCTACCCTCCATGCAACATTAAGCGCCGCTAAAGGCCCTAGGTCCTATAGACAACCCATCAAGGATAGTTCCCGAAACCCTCAAACCCTAAACCCTAAACCCGAAACCCTATGTAAATGTAGGTAAAAAGAGTTCCAGGTAAGCCCTGAACCCGTAGACCCCACCCCAAGAGTTGAAAGCTTCCAGGGCAGATATTATTTCGGGGAACATCCCAACCTAAACCCTGGTTCCTTGGCCTTTTCTTAGGGGATCTATGGTTTAGGGGGTTGAGGTTTTAGGGCTTGGGGTTTTGTTTTTTTGTCGGGATCCATGGTTTAGGGGATTTAGGTTTAGGGCTTGTTTTGTTTTGTTTTCTTTTTTATTTGTTTTTTTTTTTTTTTTGGGGGGGGTAGGGCGTTTTGTGTTTAAAGTTCAGGGTCTAGATCTTTAGGGTTCTGTTGTCTCTAGTTTTTTTGGTTTCGGGTTTGAGGGTTCAGTGTTTTACTCGGGTTTGCTCATGGGTGTTACAGATCTAGGGTTTAGGACTGTATTGGGTCAGGGGTTCCGTGGGCTATTTCTTTCTGGGTTTAAGAGGATTCATTGAAGTGTTTTTTTCAGGGGTTATAGAAGCCATCCTAGATTAGGCTTCCAGGTTTTGGAACATCCCAAGTTTGCCTAAACCCTAAACCCTAAACCCTTTTGAGTTGTTCATCAGGTCTTCGGGTTCAGTTTCGGGCTTTTGGGCTTCCGGAGCTAAGGGTTTGCATCGCGGATTTTTTGGCCTGTGGGGTGGAGCGGAAGACGTTTAGTGACGAAGTGGCACCGTCCTACAAAAACAGGCTGGGCCCTAAAACTGATAATTTAACCCTAAACCCTAAACCCTAAACCCTAAACCCTGAACCCTGAACCCTGAACCCTGAACCCTGAACCCTGAACCCGAACCCTAAACCCTATAGACTACAGGCCTAAGGACTACAGGCCAGCAACCCTCTGGCAATCCTACTAGAAGGTTCATGGAGACCTTGATGATATGCCCTATCCCTCTTACCGCTGAACTCCGATCCCTAGCCACCTTAACGTAACACATTGTAGTGCCTCGGTTCTGAGGGGATCTCAAGGACCATGCTACAAAATAGTTATGAATACAGATACAAGTATAAGTAGAACGTAGAGGAAAATGTAAAGGTCTATGTAGATGTAAACTGAATCATGAAATACAGATCTAAGTCGTAAATGGACATGTAAATGTAAATGCACATATGCAAGTATGGACGTGCCTCTATTATCCTGTGCTACATGAGGCTATCTCTTGTCACGTCACATTACGCTTGTAGTTGTTTTGCTTCTGTGGGTATAGTATACACAACCTTTTTTCATAACTGCGCCACCATAAAACCTAAGCGCGAATCCCAGAGGTTTGGGTTCGAAATCTTATATGCATACTATTCAGAGCACTGCACCGCCAAACACCCTAAACTAGACACCCAAAACCCTAAAATCCTGAACCCCTGCCCTAAACCCTAACCGCCCTAAAGCCTAAGCACCGTAAACACCCTAAACCCTAAACACCCGAAAAACCCTAAACACCCTAAACACCCTAACCACCCCAACCATTTAAACACCCTAAACACCCAAAACACCCCAAACCCGAAACCCTAAACACCCTAAACACCCCAAACCCCACAGGTTTGGACTCTAAACCCTAAACCCTAAACCCTGAACACCCCAAACCCAAAGGTCTGGGTTCAGCCTCATCCGCCCCTGAGCCTCCTGGATGCCCACTTCGTGCGCCTGATCGGCACGGCAAGTCGGGTTTAGAGTTTTGGGTTTAGGGTTTAGGGTTTAGGGTTCATGTGTTTGTTGGGGGTCAGGGGCCTATAGATTATGGTGGTTTAGGGGCTTAGGGCTTAGGGCTTTGGCTTTAGGGTTTAGGATTTAAGGGCCTCTCAGGACTTAAGGGGCTCAGCTGGCTTCTTGTCTGCGGTTGGTTGTGCTTGAAGGGGGTAGAGGTTTGTCTACCCGAAACCCTAACCCCCGAAGCATGAAACCCTGAACCCTAAACCCTAAACCCCATACCCTATACCCTAAACCCTAAACCCTAAACCGTGACACTAATGTGCCAAAGGTGGATGATGCTGCCTGCGAGCGACTGGCATGCGACCATGCCCAGGCATGTGGGTCAGTTTTGTGGGGTCTCGGGCCTCGTGGTTAGGGTTTGGGGATTTGGGGTTTTAGGGTTGGGGTTTTTATTTTTTTTTGGGGTTTATCGGGTTTGGGAGCTTATGGGTTTCGGGGTTTAGTGGTTGTGGGGCTTCGGGTTTGGGTTTTTTGGAGGGGCTTTTGGTGAACCCCAAGCACCCTTGACTACCAACCCTCTCCAGACCCCCAACAACTTCCCCTGGTAGAGGCCGAGGTAGTCCCTTGGCATACTTTCGGCAGTTTAGTGTTTACGAACCGCTCCCATCCCAACTGTCCCTAGACCGTGAAATACCCCTGGGGATATTTTAGGGTCTAGGGTTTCAGAATGCATAGTCCCAAGCTGGGCAGGCATTTGGCTGCGGCATACTTCCGCCGATACAGGCGGAAACGTTGTGGAGCAAATTCTGGGTGTTTGTCCCCGTGTTCACCTACGAGACCCTAAACCCTAAACCTTAAATACAAAAACAGAGTCCCAAGCCCCTCTATGGATTTTGCCCTGGAAATGAGGGGGGGGAGCACTCGGGGGGGACTGGGGCCGGCGACATTGAGGGCTGTGATTCAGGGTTGGGCTTTCTTTTAGGGTTGATTGTTTGTCCATCACAGCGCTCAAAGTGTCCTCTTTGTCGTGACTGCTCCCCTGCCCAACATGGGCGCCATCTTCGCGAGGCCACCCACTTGTTACTTCTATGATTAGGGGAGCCTGGCGGTGGCACTGGAAGGGCAAACCTGGATGTGGGCGATTGCGCCTTGCAGTTGTAATTGCATGGAGACCTACGCGGGCTGGTGGAGGTCTGGAGAAAAGCTGCGTCCTTCTCTGGGCGGAGAAGCCACCACCCACCTGGGAGGAATGGGAAGCGGAACGCTGTTATGCCGACGGCAGTCGGAGAAATGGCAGAAGCAGCAGGTGATGGCCGCGCGGCTGAGCTCCAAGCTCCCTGCTAGAGTCCTGGGCACGATTCAGGCGGCCATCTGCTAAGCAGTCGTTGCGCTCTATTGCTCTTCCAAACAAAAAGCTGCAGTCGGCTAAGGTCGCCGATCAACCTTGCTGCCATGGAATACGCTAAGCAGTCGCATGGCGCATCTTATTCTTCTCAAAAACTGCCGTTGGCTTTCATATTGTTGCTGACCAACTTGCTGCTGCGCGCTTGGAGAGCAGGAAATCGCTTGCGATTAGCAGAGAAAGAGGGAAAGAGGGAAAGAGGGAAAGAGGGAAAGGGGGAAAGAGGGAAAGAGGGAAAGAGGGAAAGAGGGAAAGAGGGAAAGAGGGAAAGAGGGAAAGAGGGAAAGAGGGAAAGAGAGACAGAGAGACAGAGCGACAGAGAGACAGGGAGACAGGGAGACAGGGAGACAGGGAGACAAGAGACAGAGAGACAGAGAGACAGAGAGACAGAGAGACAGAGAGACAGAGAGACAGAGAGACAGAGAGACAGAGAGACCGAGAGACAGAGAGACAGAGAGACCGAGAGACAGAGAGACAGAGAGACAGAGAGACAGAGAGACAGAGAGACAGAGAGACAGAGAGACAGAGAGAGAGAGGAGAGAGAGAGGAGGAGAGAGAGCGAGAGAGAGAGACAGAGAGAGAGAGAGAGAGAGAGAGAGAGAGGAGAGGAGAGAGAGGAAAAAGGAGAGAGAGAGAGAGAGAGAGAGAGGAGAGGAGAGAGAGAGAGAGAGAGAGAGAGAGAGAGGAGATAGAGATAGAGATAGAGAGAGAGAGAGACAGAGAGAGAGACTGAGAGAGAAAGAGAGAGAGAGAGAAGGAGCAGAGAGAGAGAGAGAGAGGAAAGAGATAGAGAGAGAGAGAGAGAGAGAGAGAGAGAGAGAAGAGAGAGAGAGGAGAGAGAGAGAGAGAGAGAGAGAGAGAGAGAAGAGGAGAGAGAGGAGAAAGAGAGAGAGAGAGAGAGAGAGAGAAAAAAAAGAGAAAGGGAAAGAGAAAGGGAAAGAGAAAGAGAAAGAGAAAGAGATTTTGGCGCGCAGATGGTTCTTGCACATGCGTAACGTTCAGAAAATTTGATTACTCGTTCATTCCTCTTTGTTCTACACCACAACTGTCGTAGAAATCCCTCAGTCTAGCTGCCATGGTCCATGGCCGAGTCGTCGCCCGCTATCTGATGCAAATGTGCCTTCACTGGCATGCAAAAGGTCTCCAAGCTGTGTTGGGTGCAGAAAACCTGGCCAATTCTTGGAGTGCATCGTCACAGCAACCGCTGTCCACGTCGCTGGTGACGCTCCCCCTTGGAAGGCTGTCAATGACCTCCTGACGCAAGACTTCCAGCTGTGGACGGCTGTGTGCGAACATGGCCAGAGGCGTCACCGCTGGAGGCAATTCCTTCATGACATCATTGGCACGCTCCCGCCGCCTCATCCTGGGAAGGAGGTCATCGAAAAGATCCACAAAGCCAGGATGGGTATGACCATGAGATTGAACGTCAAGCCAGCGCTTGAACCGAGATGGTGATAGCTGGCCCGCCGGGCGCTTCTTTCACAACACATCTTGTTCTTCCCAAAAACGCTGATTCAGCGCTTTTGCCCCCGTGCCTTGTGGTTGTTCTTCACCTTCGCCATGATCTCTGCGCTGAGCGCCTGACGCAGCTTCTACGTCTGCTAAGCAGCCACGCGCTTACTGATCTCCCGTATTACAAACAGGGGCTCTTAGCATAATTATTGTTGTAATCATATCCACATCCTTTAGTATTATTTGTGGGTAATAAAAATCTAGAAGAAAGACGCGTGCATGTCATACACTCGCTTGTTGGTTTAGAAAAAGCACAAGACTTACATCAATTTTCATGTGCTCGCGTCTTTTGATTACGAAATTGAGCTCACGCGTTTACACAACCCATGATTAAATTGCTGAGCGAAGCGAACTCACTCCTTTTCTATCTTCATGTGTTCGCAGAGCTTGGATTAATGTTATTCCCTCGTGAAGGCGGTGAGATCATATGATTTTAGAAAAGAGTGAGACACAAGATCTGTATTAGAACGGCACACAAATTCAGAAAAGTTGTGTGTGTGCGCGCGTGATGCGCATACTCATAGAGAAAATGCAATCACAACCCCTATGACCTCGAAAACTAGGAGTATTCAGGCTTGCAACGCGTACTAAACACACGCGTTAAAAGAAGTCCTTTTTGATCATTTGCTCAGTCTCTCGGAAATTCCATTAATGTTAGTCTTTGTACCGTTCATCACTCGTTTCACTCCGTTTAAAAAATACTGATAATCTACAGGAATATTGCTATTAATTTACTATTTTAATGTCCAAAAGACCAAAACAGAACATTCATGCGATTCAATGGTGACATGGCTCATTTGGTACCTTCATGAACAATGAACGGTCTAGCTCCTATATGAACAAACTCATCACTTTAAGACCCTTGAAGACGGAATATCTTTCCTGGTGCTGTCTATTAATAGGGTTTCAAGTCGAAGAGAACAAAGTGAATTAAAATGTAGGCGAGGTTACGAAACGCACGATTTCTAGGTTTTGCCCTAAACCCTAAACCCTAAAAATCCTAAACCCTGCTTGAGGATCTGCGTGGGTCTCCAGGGGTTCGGACGGGTCTCGGAATTCACAACCTAGGCTTCAAGGCACATTACACGTAGGTTTAGGGTTTAGTAGGGCCGAAACCTCAAACCCTAAAACTGCCCCCCCCAACAAAAGCCTTGTGTCGTCCTGTTGCTTGCTGTTTTTGCTTGGGGTCTTCCAGTCCGAAGATGGTACCGTGGACTTCCGAATTACGGCAACTTGGGAAGAACGGACTTTCAGCTTCGCTCATTCTCTGAACCTTGAACCCTAAACCCTGCAGTGCATCCATGGTCCATGCCTTTCCTCGGCAGCTCTTCAGCATCCTTCTCAGGGGGGGGGGGGGGGGAGAGGCGGGGGGAGGGGCGGCGCCTGCCTTTGAAGCCGCCTTCCGAAGACCATCCAAAACCCTCTAAGAAAAAAATGTTCAACATAACTACCCCTAGGGAATACCCTTCAAAGAAATGGAAAGGGTATGGTAAGATCCTGCCTTATAACCTCGCTTTGTAGGTTAAGGGGTCTGGGTTTGGGGTATGTTGAAGTTGTTTTCGAAACTCTCAATCAAGACCCAAAGACGCCCAAGAGCCCTACACACCAAAGCATCGAAGGTTAGCTCATCGTGTTTTGTGTTATTTCTGAATCTTACAGCCATCAACAACTCGAAGCAACTTCAATGTCACGATACCTTTCCCTGAAGCCGAACCCTCCATGGCTCAAACTCTCCTTAGAACCCAACCCCAAAGCCTAAGCCGGCTAAGTGTTTAGGGTTAGGGCTTAGGGTTTAGGATTTAGGGTTTAGGCTTTAGGCTTTAGGGTGAGGTCCCTTTTTTCCCTAAACCCTAAACCCTAAACCCTAAGAACCCTGAGAACCCGAATAAGTTGCTAGAGGCTGCTGCGAGACAACACCGCGCCGGCTCTCTGGCACCAGGGGCCTCAGACCTTCGCCTACCACGCGCTCACGGCGCAAGGATGGGGCACGGTCTAGGGTTGTGGGTTTAGGGTTAGGCTTTAGGCTTTAGGGTTGAGGGTTTAGGGTTTAGGGCCAAAGTTTCGGGCTCTGGTCTTATAGGGCTTAGGATTGTCCAGGTGGCCCAATGCTCCTCACATTATGGAATCGACCTGCTGCTAACATGTATGTAGGATTTAAGGCGCCGAGCGCATTTTCACACGGCACATTTTGCGTAACCCTGAACCCCTAAACCCTAAGAACCCCAAAACCCGAAGAACCCTAAAATGTAAGAACCCTGAACACCCAAAACCCGAAGAACGCTGAACCCTGAGAGGGTATAGGATTTAGGGCTTAGGGTTTAGGATTTAGGGTTTAGGGTCGTAAACCCAAAACCCTAAACCCGACTGGCGGCACAGGGACCTCTTTTTGTCGGGCTGATGTGTGCCCTTAACCACGCACCACCCACCCCAAGCCACACGTCCCACGTCCGACGCCCTAGGTTTGTTCTAGGCAAGTTGTTCAGGGCTTGGGGCCTAGGGTTTAGGGTTTAGGGTTGAGGGTCAGTTTTAGGGCGTAGGCTTAGTTAGCGTAGGCTCGCTTTTGGATGTCTCTGTATACACAACTTTACAGCTCATATGGCTTCGAGCTTTGGGTTTTTCATCAAGCCCCAGATCAGCAGGTACGTGCGTGGGTGGCGGGCTTAACCGCGGACAGGGGTGGTAGGGCTTATGCTCCGCCCCCGATCCTACGCGTGACTGGAAAGCGTGGACAACCCAGTGTTATCTGCGGAGGCTTCCATCGACCTGGTGGTTCACACTGGCCTGGCCGGACTGTGGCCCTTCACAAGTATGTTCGCTACGGTTTCGCTGGCCAGGAGCTCCTCTGGACGGTGGTGGATTTTGGAGGAACGGCACCCGTTTGGGTGCCCCGAGGACAGTACATTTTCTGGGGCCAATGGCCGGACTGTGGATGCAGGTTCTTTTAAGGGACAATGCAAGATACCTAATTCCCCTTATAAAAGAGCCATATGCCCTAAAAACTAAACCCCTGAGCCCCCCCCCCCCGCGCCCTAAACCCCTAAACCCCTAAACCCTGAGCCCTCAACCCCGCCCCAAGCCCTGCACCTCTATGAAGCCCTGAAACCCTAAACCCCATAAGCCCTGCAAGCCTTACCTAAACCCTAAACCCAGTCAAGCCCTGCGACCTTCTAAACCCTAAACCCTATGCCCTATGAACCCTAAACCCTATGAACCCTAAACCCTATGAACCCTAAACCCTGTGAGTCCTAAACCCTATGAACCCTAAACCCGAAACCCCCAAAGCGTCTCAAAGGAGTGGCCACAGCGACCTTTGAAAACATCGCCTCACTTGAGCCGTGCCCGGAGACCTGGGGGGGGGCTGGGTTTAGGGTTAGGGCTTAGGGCTTAGGGGTTAGGGGGTACATGGGGGAATCTTTCCAGGGAATGGTTTGGAAATCTCGGCTTCGGGTTTTGGGCTGAGGGCAACAAGAGGCTCGGGTGCACAGGTTTAGGGCTTGGGGGTTTTTTGGAGGTTAAGGAGTTTGAGGTTTAGAGGTTTACAACTGCCGATGGTTTAGGGTGTGGGGTATGTTGGGGGTCCAGGGCCTGGTAGTTTGATGGTTTAGGGTTTAGGGTTTAGGGCTTACTTCAGAGTCGAGTCTTGCTTTTGGGCGGGGCGGGGTCACTTTCTCTACAGCAAAGCCTCCAGAGATGCGAGCATCCAGACCTCGAGCTCTAGCAGCAACCCTGGTTATTGAAAGGCGCCCCGACGTCACGCTCAGGTGAAGACCTTGAAGCCGCAGACGCGAAAGCGGCTGCTGGCGGGCACCTGCGGAAGGGCAAGAGGCACCGAACGCTCGCAGTTGAAGACCTATGTCTTCCATTCACGTTTGCTGACCAAAGCTTCGGTCCTCTGAGTCATTGACGCTTGCCTGCTGACCTGGCCGACCAAGTTGCCCGCCTTCAGCAGTCTTCTGCAGTCTTTGTTCCCGACGACAAGAGAAGCAAGAGTGTCTGCGGACATTTTTCATGACCCTCTGGACTGGGCCGCTCTCGCAACTGATGAGGATCTGCTTGGACACATGAACGCTCTACTAGCAGTGAACAATCATGCAGCAACTCAAGACCCAAATCAAGCACCAGGGACGGCATACCTTGTTTTGCAAATTCACAGTCAAAGGAGTACCCACCCAAAAAATTCCCTGCTACCTTAGATATTCTACAGACATGTTGTGGAGGGGGCGGGTGAGTGGGGGGGAGGCTGGGGGTGGGAGGTGGGGGGGGGGAAACAGCCTGTTTAGCACCTCCAAGCCTCCCTACAAGCACTTACAAGCTTTTGAGGGGAGACAAAACTCAACAAACCCAAAAGCCTGACCCCCCAAACCCTAAACCCTAAGCCCTAAACCCTGACCCTGAACCCACAAGGCAGCTGGGGCTGCTATAGCAACACCTACGGCTCGCGTCGACTTCGATGGCGTCGCGATGCGCCTCGAGCCTTTTTTGGGTGGTTTGGGGTTTAGGGTTTAGGTTTTAGGGTTTAGGGTTTAGGGCTACTTGAAGGTTCATGGGTATTTGTAAGTAGGGTACCCCAAATAAGGTTACGACCATTTGTATTTAGAGTAACGCCACTTATAGCTACCCAGACACCTCCAAGTTTGGGGCGTGGGGTTCTTTAGGTTGTGCTTCAGGATTCCCAGGTTTGTCGAGTTTCAGGGTTGCAGGCTTACAGCTTCATTGTTTCGTGAGGATTTAGGGTTTAGGGTTTAGGGTTAAGAAAAGCTACGAACCTGTTATACCCTGATCAACGTATGGGCACGGGTGTAGGGTGTGTAGAGAGTGCACGATTTAGGGGCCCTAAACCCTAAACCCTAAACCCTAAACCCTAAACTCCCACACCCTAAACCCTAAACCCTAAACCCTAAACTCCCACACCCTAAACCCTAAACCCTAAACCCTAAACCCTAAACCCTAAATCCTCCTTCTGAAACACAGAATCCCCCGCCCAGGGATTCCGCTTCACGCACCTAACCTCCGGTCTTCGGCGGGGCAAGCTCCAGTGGGCGTCCGCCTGAGGGGGGATCGGTAGTTTCGGGCTTAGGGTTTAGGGAAAAGGGTTTTGGGTTTAGGGTTAAGGGTTTAGGGTTAAGGGTGTAGGGTTTAGGGTTTAGGGTTTCGGCCTAAGGGGTGTCGGCTTGTGTTAGTCTTTCGGGTTGGGTGGAATGACTCTCGGGCTGTGGACGTGGTTGTATTTCTAGTGGCTCTTACTTTGAGCATGGCCCCTCGCAAGCCAAGATCAGCCGAGGCTTTTGGGCTTTAGGCTTGAGCTTTTTAGGGGCCTTGAGGGCACAGGATATAGGCTGAGGGGATGGGGGTAGGCTTTAGGTTGTTTGGGGGGGTTCAGTGCCTAGTGCTAGCCCTAGACGCTAAACCCTAAGCTTTATTTATTTCAGCACAGAGCCCAGTGACAGAGCTCATTGAGCACTGCAATTCGCCGCCTCTGCATGGCCCAAGCCTCCCTATTTTAGGGTTTAGGGTTTAGGGCTTGTATGTGATGCCCATGAATGACAAGGGGTAAATCCTCCCAATAGGGGATCCGAAGTATGGGCCCTTAATTTGTGTCCCCTGTTATAGAACCCTTATATACACTGTACAAAATAAGGGCCTATTTACTTCGGATCCGTGTAAATCCCAAAAAAAAGGGACCATACTAAGGGCCCATGGTACCAACCTTACTAAACTCCAGACATGCGGCAAACCCTAAACCCTAAACCCTAAACCCTAAACCCTAAACCCGAAGTAAGGACTTTCGCTGGAGCATGTTTCTTGAACACCCTGACTGCGCAAGCCTCGAGAGAAGCGGGGTGGTGTTCAGGTCTAGGGTTAGGCTCTTGGGTTTACTGCTTACTAGTTAAATACTCAATATTATGATTATTATTATTATTGTCATTTTTATATTTTTTAGTATCATATATATGCTCGCCCCCCCCCCCCCCATGATCCACACATTTGGCCTCGGGAAGGGATTTTGGGAGGGGGGGGGACTCCAGACTCCAGATTTCCAGAAAAAATCTGGAGTACGGGGGCCCCGGACTCCAGACTCCAGATTTCCAGAAAAAATCTGGAGTACCCGGGGCCCCAGACTCCAGATTACATACTCCAGAATCTGGAGTCCAGGGCCCTGGTACTCCAGATTTTTTCTGGAAATCTGGAGTCTGGAGTCTGGAGGTACTCCAGATTTTTTCTGGAAATCTGGAGTCTGGAGTCCGGGGCCCCCGTACTCCAGATTTTTTCTGGAAATCTGGAGTCTGGAGTCCGGGGCCCCCGTACTCCAGATTTTTTCTGGAAATCTGGAGTCTGGAGTCCGGGGCCCCGGTACTCCAGATTTTCAGAACTGGAGTCTGGAGTCCGGGGCCCCCGTACTCCAGATTTTTTCTGGAAATCTGGAGTCTGGAGTCCGGGGCCCCCGTACTCCAGATTTTTTCTGGAAATCTGGAGTCCGGGGCCCGGGTACTCCAGATCTGGAAATCTAGTGTTTAGGGTTTAGTGTGTAGGTTTCAGGGTTTAGTGTTTTGTGTTTAGGGCTGAGTGTTAAGTTTAGGTTTTTTTGGTTTATGGTCAAGCGGCTCGGCTAAAACCCAAATAAAACCCTAAACTCTGAAATCCAAACAGTAAGCATCTGAAACCCCGACGGGTTTTTGGTTTCAGGTTTAGATTTAGTAGGGCTCGAGGTTCTGGCCTTGGGGTTTACTGTTTAGGGTTTAGGGTTTAGTGTCTAATGTTTAGGGTTTAGTTTGAAATGTTTAAGGTTTAGTTTTTGGGTTAAGTGCTTAAGTGTTTAGGGTTTCGTGCTAAGTGTTTGGGGTTTGTGCTAAGGGCTTAGTGTTAAGCTTTTAGGGTTAGTGTTTAGGGTTTAGTGTTGAGGGTTTCGGGTTTGGGTTTTAGGTTAAGGGTTTTTTAAGGATTTTTATTTACAAATTTAAATGATCTGGGGAAGGCACCGGGGCTGCCCCAGACCATTGACAACTTAAAAAACCCTTCTGTTTAGGCTTTAGGGTTTAGTGTGTAGGGTTTAGTGTGTAATGTTCAGGGTTTAGTTTGTAGGGTGTAGTGTTTAAGTGTTTAGGGTTTAGTGTTTAGTAAGGGTTTAGTGCTTAAGCGTTTAGGGTTTCGTGTTCAGTGTTTGGGGTTCGTGCTAAGGGCGTAGTGTTAAGCTTTTAGGGTTAGTGTTTACGCTGGTGTTTAGGGTTCAGTGCTAAGGGTTTTGGCTTTTTTTGGGGTTAAGGGTTTAGTGTGTAGGGTTTAGTGTGTAATGTTTAGGGTTTAGTTTTTAGGGGTGCTTAGGTGTTTAGGGTTTCCTGTTAAGTGTTTGGGGTTTGTGCTAAGGGCTTAGTGTTTAGTTTTTAGGGTTCGTGTTTAGGGTCTGGTGCTGAGTGTTTAGGGTTTAGTAGTGCTTAAGTGTTTAGGGTTTCGTGTCAAGTGTTTGGGGTTTGTGGGCCTAGTGTTAAGTTTTTAGGGTTAGTGTTTAGGGTCTAGTGCTGAGTGTTTAGGGTTTAGTGTTAAGGGTTTCGGGTTTGGTTTTTTGGATTTAGGGTTTTAAGATGTTTACTAGTGTTCAGGGTTTAGTGTGTAGGGTTTAGTGTGTAATGTTCAGGGTTTAGTTTTTAGGGTGTAGTGTTTGAGTGTTTAGGGTTTCGTGTTTAGGGTCTAGTGCTTAAGTGTTTAGGGTTTCATGTTAAGTGCTTGGGGTTTGTGCTAAGGGCTTAGTGTTAAGTTTTTGGGTTAGTGTTTAGGGTCTGGTGCTGAGTGTTTAGGGTTTAGAGCTAAGGGTTTCGGGGTTGGATTTTAGGGTTAAGGGGTTTGAGGGTTTTTGCAAGTTTACATGATCTGGGGAAGGCACTGGGGCTTCCCCAGACCCACCTAAACATTAAAAATCCTTAAAATCTTATAAAAATCTTTAGAGCTTCTGTTTAAGCATTCTCAGGATTATGAAGGTTTTAAGCCGTTTAAGCCTTTTAAAGACCTTAAATTGCTTACGTATTTAAGTGGCTGCCCTTTGCGGATTTTAGAGATTGTTGAAGTTGCCAATGGTCTGGAGAAGCCCCGGTGCCTTCCCCAGACAATATAATTTTTTTAAAATCCGTAAAAGCCTGAAATTCTTACAGTTGTAAATGGCTGTCCTTTTAAAGTTTAAAGATTTTAGGATGTTCAATTCTAAAATCCGTAACTTCCTTAATTTTAAACGGCTGCCCGTTTTAAATTTTAAAGAATTTTAGACTTTTAAGGGATAAACGTTTCGAGGTTGTTAAGGGCTTTAAAGCCTTTTAAGATCCTTGAA